GCTGGAGGTGAGTGGTGGCACTGGGAAGGCTTTTCCCCCTTCCCCAGCTGACTTTGAGGGGGCTCCCACAACCCTCACCCCCCATTTCTACCGCACTTTGGTGTCCCCTGCAGGCGCAGACCAGGGTGAAACTCAACTACCTGGACCAGATCGCCAAGTTCTGGGAGATCCAAGGCTCCTCCCTCAAGATCCCCAACGTGGAGCGGCGCATCCTCGACCTCTACAGCCTCAGCAAGGTCTGGGGGTTCTCAGGGGGGTTCTTGGGGAGGTTTTGGGGGTTCAGGCTGCTCAGTGTCCCCCACAGGGGGTGATAGCGGAGGCGGCCATCTGCAAGGACGGGCGTTGGGCACGGGTGGCACAACGTCTCTCCTACCCCTCGGGCAAGAACATCGGCTCCTTGCTCCGGGCACACTACGAACGCATCATTTACCCCTACGAGATGTACCAGTCCGGGGCCAATCTGGTGGTGAGCACGAGAGGGTTTGGGAGAGGTGGGGGAATAAACTGAGGGGGGTTTTGGGGGTGTCTCCCCTGACCCCCAGGGTCCCTGCCAGCAGTGCCACGCGCGGCCGTTTGAGAGCGAGGAGAAGGACCGCGAGTACAAACCCCACAGCATCCCCCTGCGCCAGTCCGTGCAGCCCTCCAAGTTCAACAGCTACGGCCGCAGGGCCAAGAGGCTGCAGCAGGAGGTGGGTACCCCAAAAACCCCCCAGGACCTCCCAGCTGGGGCCTGAGGGGACCCCCTGACTCCCTGGTCCTGCAGCCGGAGCCCACGGAGGAGGACATTGAGAAGAACCCGGAGCTGAAGAAGCTGCAGATCTATGGGGCAGGGCCCAAGATGTTGGGGTTGGGACTGGTGGCCAAGGATAAGACCATGAGGAAGAAAGGTATTGGGGGACACTCGGGGGGGCTTGGGGGCTCTAAGGGTGGGTGGGACCTCTTCTGGGACCTTTCTCCTTTTTTGGGGGATTTTCCCCACCCCCAGGATCCTTTGGAGTTGTCTTTACCCATAGTTTTCTTTGGGCCCCTCACAGTCCTTTTGAGACCCTCTTCTCCCTCCCCTGGTTCTTTTGGGAATCCCTTTTCTTCTCCCCCCAATTGTTTTGGGACTCATCCCTCAGAGATTTTTGGGATCTCATTCTTTGAGGATATCTTCTTACACCCCAAGCTCTTTAGGCACATTTCCTTAGTTCTTTGGGAACCCCTTCCTCAGTTTTTTGGGAACAGACTCCCCATTCCTTTGGGACAGACACCCCTCAGTTTTTAGGACCCCTCCCCAGTTCTTTTGAGACTCGTCTCCCTGAGCTTTTGGGGATCTCTCCTCATTCTTTGAGGATATCTTCCTACACCCCAAGTTTTTTAGGCACATTTCTTTGGGAGCCCCCTCCCCAGTTTTTTGGGAACAGACTCCCCATTCCTTTGGGACAGACACCCCTCAGTTTTTAGGACCCCTCCCCAGTTCTTTTGAGACTTACCCCCAGAGCTTTTGGGGTTCTCTCCTCATTCTTTGAGGACCTTCTCCCACCCTCCCAGTTCTT